GTTTTGTTGTCTCTGACATCTCTTTAGATCAAAATCAAAGAATGCGAGAAATAACATTACCCTGCTGTATAATAGGACTTTTCTTCGCGTTAATAATATAAAATAACCAATATTAGTAGACTAAGTTGACAAATTAAAGCAACTTTATTAAAAAATAATATAAAATTTACTAATGATTTTTTACTGGATTAATTAACAAGGGTTAGTAATTAATTGATAAAGTTAAAAATTTGCTTAAATTATTAAAATAATTTTTTTAAGAATATTTTTATAAACTGCATTAGAAACCAAATGGACTCTTCATCAGCAAATGGCGACTCTTCATCACAGATGTTAAACGGCATTGGGTGACCAAAACTGATAAATGGCTCCGATAGTCATTCTCAAATAGGCTCTACATTAGATTAAAAATTCTTATCTAAAATATTCTACATAATTTCATTAGAATCATTAAAAATGAAAAGTACAATACTTCTTATATCAAAAATAAGTAACTATTATATTAAAATTAATCAGTAAACTCAACTGAACACACTAGAACTATTATATCCTTACAATTTTTTTCACGATAACAATGACTAAGTAGATGAGAATTATAATCTGTAAAATGAATACATTAAAAGTGTTTGAGTCAACTTTTTAAATAGTTTTCACATTAAAGTGTTGGTACTTAGTTTTTGAATATTTTGAACGTTTAGTCAACTATGCTGATGAGTGTCTCTAATATGTAGAATCGAATGTTTTACGATCCATAAATGTTTCATGAACTGCTTGTGTCTTTAAAAGTGCTTCTGAAGATGGAATATGCTTAGTGGCGGTTTGTTGCTCAATGTGTTATACTTTAATGGGATGAAGAAAGATTTTACGCATGTGTTTGCTAGTAGTATTAGTATCTCTAAAAATATTTAACCTAAAAATATGCAACATCACCGAATAAAATATGAGAAGGAGGATTGGATTTGAAATCAATCAAAATATAATTATATGTTTTTATTCAAAATAGAAGTACGTTTTGAATTAATATTGTGCGTAGTCGTTTTTTACTTCTCGATATACACATATATATAATATTTTTACCTGAAATGAAAGAAAAATAAATTTTATAATTAAATAAAAAAAAATGGATTTAAAATGTGAAGAAATAAGGTTATTTTACTACTTTTTTATGAAAATTTTTTTCATTTTTTATAACTTAACATATTTTTATATTTTTGTAAGTTTATTGAGTTGAGTTTCTTGAAATTCATATGTATGAAAAAATGTTTCAAATTCGTTAAAATATCAAATCATATGAAAGATATAAAATTTTTACGATTGATGACTTTTCAAAGTTATTCATACAGTCATCATAAATACACATACACATCAGTTTATGAATGTGTTAATGTAGATATTAGTACGTTTTTACTCAGAAATATGAGTATATGAGTATAACAATAAATATTTTATATATACTAAAGAAGCGAGAAAAACTCTTTTCAGCTACTTCAAGCGCATACATAATTTAAATCTCCTCTGAGCTAATACCAGCCAGCGCCAATGTATGACTTTTCAAATTTATGACATCAATTCTTGTGGAAGTTTCAGTGCTGCTAGATATTGGATGTATGAGAATGTGTATTTGAAACATACTTAGCATTCTAATGTCATTCGTTTTTAATGCATTTGTACGTTTTTTTTTGTTGTGGCATACGTTGAACATATTTTAAATTTACCAAAATTCAAATGTTAAATTCAATTTGTCATTATTCCTGACAGCATTGCATTCAACTGCCACCACAATGATTTGTTTCCCACCGCAAGCGAAAGACATTTTCCAAATGCTGCTCTTGCAAAATGTACGACTACAAGAAATTACATAAATGCGATAAAATAATGGTTTCAATTTTTTGCTCTACTCTAACGATTCGCCTTCTCTATTTAACATCTTGCTACATCCTCTGCTATCCTTCCATTAAATTTTCGTTTGTTTTTGTTTTCCTTGCATTCTAAATTGTTAAAGTAATTTTATTGTTCTTCGCTGTTTCAGTTTTTTGTCTTTAGCAATTTTCTGTTATATTTTATTTTTGAGAATACCAGAAAAATTTTTAAATACTTTTTAAACTTTATTTGAGAAATACTACACTATTTTACTATACTACACTACACTACACTACTTTACTATACTATACTACACTACACTACTTTACTATACTATACTACACTACACTACTTTACTATACTATACTCTACTCTACTTTACTATACTATACTGTACTACGCTACAGTATGTGAAAGAAATGAGACATACTACAAATTCTGGATAAGAAAATTATATTAAAGATTTACTTTGCAAAGTATAAGGTGAGAAAATACAAATCATTACACTACATTGTGATTTTAGCGAATACTAAAATGAAGTCCTTATCATGGTTACTATTAATTATTTTTACTGAATTGAGTAAAATGCGAAAGCTTAATCTTTTATTTGATATTGTGAGCATAAATAATTACACAGTTAACTAAGTCACTTCAAATGATTCAATTTCGACTTAGTTTTTGCCAATGATAACTGAAACATGTAAATATCCAAAGGTGGCTTAAGATTTTCTCGCAATTTTTAAAAAGCTTTTCATACACGTGAGAGAGCTTTCTCTCACATATTGCTTTTGTTTTTGTTTTTATAATTTAAAACAAGACAATAAAGAAACATTATGGCTTATTAGGGACGCACAACAACAATACAGTAGCTTATAGTTTCAAAAAACTTTTAAAAAAGTGCTCTTTCAATTAACACTGATTAACTGTTATATTTAGTATAACAGTTAATCGGTTGCTAGAATCCGTTGCTAGAATCCGTTGCTAGAATCGGTTGCTAGAATCCGTTGCTAGAATCCGTTGCTAGAATCCGTTGCTTGTGCCAAAAATTTACTTGGTGCTCAGAACCCTGTCGATTTTTAATTATATTTTAAATTCTGTACTTATATCTATGTATAAACGTTATGCATTGTATAAGTATATACAATTTATATATGTTTTATATAAGATTTAAAATATATTTCGAAAGAACCTAACTGCATACGAAATAAATTTTCCCTGCTAAAAAAATTCTTTTAAATTTAATTCTGAAATATTTTATATATGTTATATGTTAAAAATATTATGCATACAAAAATTGTAAATCTAAAATAAAAGTAAAACCACATTTTTATTAAGAAAATTAAATATATGTCTTTTAAAGAATTATTAGAGAGATAAGTTTATAAATTAAATAAATAAATATATATAATATATAAGTCGATAGCACACCGACACATAATTTCAAAATAAATTATCTTATTATAAATAATATTAAATATTAGAAATTACAATATTTTAAACTTAAGATTAATTGATGTAAACAAGTTTTATTTTTATTTTTTAGTAAAAAGAAACAATAGTTTTCACATAATAATAAATAATAAAACTTGAAACTCTTTATTACAACAAATTGTTTTTATTTCGAAATTATCCATAATTGGTTCATATAATACATATACGTAGGGATGGTAAATTCTTTCGCTTGACTTAATAAAGAAAATTTAGTTTAATTATAAAATAATTAATGTCCGCAAATAATAAACAGACATAAAATTTTAAAATATTACATTAAAACTTTTATTTATAGGATTAAATAAAATTTAAAATCAAAAGTACGTATAACGTACAATGTATTAAAAGAAAAAAAATTTACTTATGAATAAATTTACTTATTACTAAATTATAAAAATTATAATAAAAGAAAAATAAATGATAAATTTATCTAGTAATTAATTATGAAAGTTTTTAAAACAATAAAATAAAAATAAAATAAAATATAATTATTGAATACTATATAAACATATACATAAAATTATACATACATAAAAACTTTATATATAAAATTAATTATGTTACTTTTAATTCAAAAAAAAATATTCAGAATATTAAGGAACTTCATTAATAACAAATAATATGACTATAAAGCTTTTGTTATATTAAAAACGCGTGTCTTAATAATTAATTTAAAACTAATATAATCAATAATAATTTCAATTTCAAAACTTCAATAATATTCCTGTGTGTTGCAGATGCTAATTTTTCGGATTTTCCGTATATACAATATTTAACACGTAAGTTGTTTTTTTTACAGGTAAACCAGATGAAGTCAATATGTAAATAATAAATAAATTACAATAAAATTGGTAATACCAGAGAAATTTGTTTTAGATTAAAACATACCTCAACCGTTCTGTGAATGAAATGTTTTATTCTAATTGAAGTATGGAACAGACGATTTATATTCGATTATTTTAATAATATAATATTTTAATAAATAATTAAAATATAGTAAAATTTATACAAGGAGCATTTCCCCGTACATAGATTCCAGAAGCTGTGACGTACAATAACCGTCTCCATGTCAAGCAAATGCACTGTATTGCTAGTGTGTCATTCATATTGTAATCAAGTATCAGAAAATTGCACATCATTCCAATCCATGCAATCAAGTTATATATATCTTGTGGTATATATTTAAGCAACAAATTGCTTTCATATCAAGCTAAAAGAAAGCAAAGGATTCGAATAAGTTCATTTATTGCTGAAACGATGGTACGGAAACTTTTTGTCAAATTTTTTAACCATATAGATCATATGCAGTAGTTCTGCAATGAAGTGTGGTCCCTTAAATGTACGGTCACAGGTATCTTAAAATTTCAGAAGATTTCAGATTTCTTATCAAATAAACATAATTCCCTTCAAATATTAAAAACTTATAAAAAATCTTCTCATACAAGACACTATACGTGTTTTTTTTACACCTCAGTGCAATAATTAATATATTTCAATTCACTTTCATGTCCTCAGAAATATTTTTATTTCATAGAAACCTAGTTTATGTCAAATATGAGATGAATTTCAATTTCAAATGCCCGCTGTCATAGAAAAAATTAGTAAAATCAAGAATTTTATTAATTTGAAAATTTTTTTATATCTTTCAGATCCGCCGGAAATCATTAAGAAGCCACAAAATCAAGGCGTACGTGTAGGAGGAGTCGCCAGTTTTTATTGTGCAGCGCGTGGTGATCCACCACCGTCGATAGTTTGGCGTAAGAATGCTAAGAAAGTATCAGGTAAGCTTTTCATTTTTTATTACTCTTCAGAAACTAAAGTAATATAAACACTGTAAATTGGGACATATAAAAAGACTCAATACAGTCATCAAAACACGTTTATTATTATTCTACTGAAGAGTAGTGCCTGTCAGACTTCAAAACTTACTTAGTCTAAGAATCTTACTTAGATAAGAATCATATCAGTCAGCGTCTCAACAAAAATGGAATCTACTTAATACTACTGTATAGGTGCTGACAGATCACCACGTCTTACAATAAAGATGGTTCTATACAATAATGCTTTTATCACTATACTATACCACTAAACCGTACTGCTCTAAAACACACAACACTACACTAAAATAATAGGATGCTGCCAGACAATAATTTCTCAGTTGCAATTGTTCTAGAAAACCTCACAGATTACTTCAGAAAATCCTTAAATTTTCAAAACCATGCTTAACTAAAAAGGATCCTATGAGTTTCGAAACAGTGACTCAGTATCGTCTAATTACATGAACTGCACAACGGCTCTGAAACCTCCAAGTTCAGGGAATTAATATATCAACGTAGAAATAGTATACGACCCCATCACGTTAATAGTACGGTGTTCTTTTCATTTTAACTCACTTTTTAAGTACTTAATCATGCGTTGAAAATTGCAAAGCAGACGAATATTATGTAAATTGCTGCTGAATTTTTTCTGTATTGAATTTTTTAACAAAAGATGGAAAGACAACGATATGTAGGCATCTGTATGCAATCTAGTCATTTTCCGATAAAAGGAAATCCAAAACTCTCATTGGATGCCCCGTAGATACATCGGTCTTTTGGTAGGCCTACTTAGAGGTTACTGTAAACTAGGGAATCGTGTTAGAAGATTAGGTCTTTCGTTCAAACAAATCTGTCGCAGTTGTAGGGAAGACGTTGAGAATGCCTCTCATCTACTATGTTTTTGCCCAGCTCATGCACGGCGGCGACTTAGCACTTGTGGAGCCCCCTTTCGTAAGGACCTGAATCAGTTGTAGAACCTGAAATTAAATAGCATTTTATGCTTCGTTAAAGGTTCTAGGTGGTTTTAAACCCTGAGCTTTTCCTACATATACAGTAACACAATGGGCCAATAAGCCTAAGTGGATCTACTAAGGATCGCCGGTATAACCTTCTTCTCTCTTCTTATTTGGCACTACAGTCCAGTATGAACCTTGGCCTCCCGGTATATCCTAGCCTAACCTAATGATGCATTACTGATGGCGGCATAGTCAATTAGAAAATATGTACCAATAGGGGAATAGGGGTCGGGTTTGTTTGGAAAAACTATCCTTTCGTCACATTGTTAAATTAAATTTAATAATAATGTTATAATTATGAATGATTTCCACTTGTTATTATCGTTTCCATAATTAAAGCTAGTTTCTATTAGTCGTTAGGGTCATATTTCTGCATTTTTACGTAATACTAAAAATCATCATATAACTAAGTTTTGTTTCCTGAACGATCTTTAGTTGTTTTGACTTTGTATGGTTTTTCATTTGATACAAAAAATTAATCGGGTGTGGTATTGCATTTCTTTTGATTTATAAGTGAACCACAATTCTAGTATATTTCTAATAATCTATTATATTGTTTTAATTTTCAGTAGTTGTTTTTTTTAACATGAAAAAAATTCATATTATATGCGCATTTTCTTTTAGGGACTCAATCCCGTTACACTGTTCTGGAGCAACCTGGTGGTATATCAATTTTACGTATTGAGCCGGTACGCGCAGGTCGTGATGATGCACCATATGAATGCGTAGCAGAAAATGGTGTTGGAGATGCGGTGTCCGCTGATGCAACGTTAACTGTTTACGAAGGTAAGTGATTATAAATAATATGGAGTTATGTCTATGAATTCACTGAAGCGCTAAAAATAATTTATTCTCGCCTATAATGCTGCAATATTTTCTGAATCAAAATTCTACTCTCCTTAAATATATAATTTATAATTTATTTTAATGTGCTATCAAAATCAATTTGTAATAATTAAATAAACAATACCCCTAAATTAACTAAGCTGCATCTACTTTTGACATACGTTTCCTTGATGAAGCAGAGAGAATAGAAAAAGTCGAAACTAACTTTATGGCTATAAACTATAACCATATTCTTAACTACAAAAAGGCAACGAAAATAAATTACATTAATTTTAAATACCTTATGCAAGTACACAAGTGGAACGTAATATAACAACGTAACGTAAACTTAAGTGTTTCCGTGCGTGAGCATGTCTACGTAATGTTGAGCACATCAACACACAAGGCAACCACTGTTTACACTCTTGCGGAATGGTTTTTACTAGGAGGAGGGGTGCGCAGATAACTATAAAATGTTTTAAAACTATTTTTATAGTCTCTCGTTGTAAAAAGGATATGCTTTTTTGTTCTGATACACCTTTGTAGATAAAATTTACAACCTTCTAGTCTAATCATCTTACGTGCATTAAGTGTACACGTCTGTTTTTATATAAAACCTCACTTGAAACTTACTGACTACGTGTGAAATTCTGCTCTTCAGGTACCAGGCAAAGCAAAGCATAAGTGCTTTAGTGTTTAGTCCATTGTGGGTGTTAATTGGTTCTTGTATAAACATATGCTTGTGTTTATATGTAATTATATAGATATTACTTTTATTACGTAAAAAGTTCTATGCCATTTTATATTAAAATACTCTTAAACTTAATTGAATTTTTGAATAGAAAATTTGAAGCTTTTTTGCTTCCGTCTGTGTGTTTTAATTTATGCATTTATGAATCCAGAAACCGACTTTGGAAGTCTTTTTGCTGTTAAGTTTGATAACGTTTGGTCTGTGTTGTTCTGTGGGAGTGTAGATTGTTTCAGGATTGATGTACACAATTTTTAAAGACTAGGATTGCTTTTTTACCTGAGTTCAAATGTTTTTTTTGTTTTTTTCAAATAAAGTCACTTAATTTGAAGTGCTATTTAATTACATGGCTAGCAAACTCATTGAGAATAAAAATATTTTAGTATTGAAGAAGAAGTATAAGATAGATATTGATATGGAAAAAGGTAAAGAAACAGAAATGCATTGTACAAGATGAAGAGGATAGACTAAAATAACAGAAAAGAGAGAAATAAATGTTAAAATATACACGTAAATGGATTACGTTCTCAACTCTATTAATAAAATTACAGTCAAAAGCATAAAAATTCAGTGTAAAAATCATGCAATAAATTTTAAGACAGCAATATAGGTATGTGAAAGAAACCACCAAGACGAAAAGCAGAAGAACTTTTAAAAATCAAACCAAAAATAAACAAAAGTACCAGTTGACAGTAAAAAAGTAGTGGCTAGCTAAAGAGCAAGCTAATAACAGAATAAATAGGCGAGACAAAGGTACGGGTACGAATACAAAAACAGTTTTGCAAAAACTGCTGCAAAAAGCAAAGTGACAGCTAAAAGCATCAGAAATGTGTTAAATCCTAAATCCTTATTCTGATAATATTTTAAAAAATATTTATGTGCAAGAAACTAAATTTAAATTAAATTTAAGTTTTGTTTAACTGTGTAAAAGTTGAAATAAAATATAAATGTTTTTTGAATAAGTGTCTGTCATGCTCAGAAATGCGTTAACTCACAAAATAAAAAACCACCAATGTCATCATTAAATGGATTAAATATGTTAAACATTTTAAATGAAAGTGTGGTTTCCAAATATTAATATATAAACAAACTGAATATGCAGACTGAATAGCGCATTAGTTATACGCAACTTTAGTCCATTCCCAACTTTAGTCGATTCCCAACTTTAGTCGATAGAGATTATGGCAGACAGAGTGTAGCTGAAACCGGACCCACAATAAAAAACTAAAAGATAGATTGAAAGTAGAATTGTATATATATCTAAGATTGCCTGAGACTGTGACTATGACGAATACTGAGACCAAAGTCAAGATTTTTATTTTAGTTCAGATTAAGATTGATAACGATGATAAGGATTGGTACTAAAGTACATCATTAAAACTGACATTGAGAATGAATGGAAATTAGTATCAACACAATATTAACATTTACATCACATATGAAAGAAGTTAGCTCTAAGTTAGCTTGAACACTAAGATATAAATTAAATAGAATATTACATTTGGTGCTAAAAGTAAAACTGAGATTAGCTAAAATTAACTAAAATTATGACCATAAAATTTACAATTAAAGTAAGAATAGCATTAAAACTAAGACTAAGGCTTCAACTAAAGCTGGAAATATTTCAATTTTTATTGACAAAAATAATGAAACTGGAGCTGCAATTTGAATTGTGCTAGAGATTGACTTTCTGGGTTCACACCGAAACACAGACTGACACTATAATCTCGACGGTATAACCCTGAATAATGTTGAGGCTTTGGGCAAAACTAGGACTAAAACTGAAAACTAGTTTTGAACTAATTAAATTTGGCTACTATAGCTAACGTTAGGTGGACATATAGATGAAATCTGAGATTAAGACAGAATAAGAATGGGCCTTTTAATCAAGAATAACCCTAGATACAAATTGATGTCGAAACTAAAAATTAGTTTGTCAATAAGACTGAGTCTCTAGCCAATATTGAAACTACAGTTCTACACTAAGATTTATGTTCAGGTGGTTTTCATAATTATTGTTTAAAACTCTTGATATTGAAATATAGTGATGTATAAAAAATCACAATAAGTTGAAACAAAAAATTCAAAAACAGTACTTGTAGCTATCACACACTTAAATCACACAATCTCATTAGAAATCATATTTCCGACAATGAACATTTTTTCAATATTACTAACGAATTTATGGTTCATTTGTTAATGAAGAAATACAGTATAATCTCGTATATATGGCAGCTGAAGCTGAAAGACCACAATTTCTTTTACTTTGGCCAGTATTTCAGCTATTCTGCTTAAACTCCTATGCTTATGATTTATACAGCATTTCTTTTTAATTGCGCAAAATTTTTAACGCAATATTTTATATATACTTTTAGGCGCCCTCAAAAATTGGTTAATGTACATAAAAGCAGTTTGTACATTTTAATATAATTAAACTTAGTTGATGGTTCGGTTTCATGTAAAAACAATTTATCAACTTTACACGTAATAAGCATGTAATATTCTAACTTGTAAAAAGTTATAATTGCTGTGAAATTTTTGTGGCATACTTTTAGCCGTTTAAGTTTGATAGTTTAACCACAAAAATTTTGGTTTCTCATAATACGTACATTATTTTAAAATTGGTTAGAGTACATTCCTGTTCACATTTTATAATTACTTATATACTATTATATTTACAGCTCAAATAAATAAAATTAGCTTGCTGGTCTGAAACCGAAATTTGGTTTAAAATTGTATGCTAACTTATAATTGTGTTAGTTTACAACACTCAAAATATGTAGTGTAGAATCATGATTTAGAATTTTGTTTCTATTAATAAAAATAATGTTTATGACATTATAATATATTCCTGATAATAAGTAAAACTATGTACATATGTAATTTATTTCTAAATACCACTGATAATCAAAATTTGATAATATTCCAAAGTGCTGTAGGGTTAACCAAAAAATTTATTTAATTAAAACTATAGTTTCTGTCGTTTTCTATCTTTATTGTTTCTCTTTTTGTATATAAATAAATCGTTTGTATGTCATACGAATTTTTTTATAAATTTATATTAGATGAGTGCACTGTTCATATTTGTTGAACATAAGTTCTTACAAAAGTAAGATCTTTTGTTAATATTTTTTTTTTTATTTGCGGTACTTGAAACTTCTGCTCTTCGATATTTTAAAATATTAGCTAGCTTATCTAAATATTTATCAATTGAAATTATATTTTAAAATAAAATCTATGGCATTTTAATTATATTCGAACCCTTAAAATATATAATTTCCTTTACGTCAGTTCAAGAAGTGTGTGTGATTTTGGAATTACTGGTTGAGTTCTTTATAAAGCTATCCAATAAACGTTTCATTTATTTTTATAGTAGATTAATAATGAGATAAAAATATTTAAGTGACAGATTTCTCGTGCATGTTACCCAAAAGACATCGGCATGGGTCATTTGGTGGCATAAAAAATTTTATTTATATGTAACACATTTGCATTTAGGTATGAATGCATTAGTGGTAGTAGTTTTATTCTTTCATTTTAAAATTTAATAATACAAAGAAATTTATAAATAAGTCTGGTATATGTATAAAGCTTGTAGGTATGATAATTTTGACGTCTGCATTAGGCTTAGATAAGTATTTTAAGTACTTGTGATATTATAACTTAACAAATAATAGGACTAGATTAGATTTTAAATGGGTTAGGAACTTGACACCACGTCACTGCATCAGGAGTAGCAGTTAAGAACGTCAATATGTGCTTTGAAGTGATATTGCCTAATTCCGTTATAAGTGGATTGACAGTTGAAAGGTACCGAAGTCTGAGTCTCGCGAGACTATCACAGTGACAGAGAATGTGTTCTGCTGTGTCCTTAACATATTATACCTACAATTTTTTGGATTATACTTCACGGGGTCATATTAGTTGTTAGTCTTATTATAATTAAAATTCGAAGTTATATCACAGTTAATTGCATTTATATAATTCATATATTCTTGTGATTATTACTTATTGTCATTTATTTCTCTAATATACATTCTCTAAAATAGTTTTAATAACGATATAACCAAAAATGTAAAATTCATCGCATTAAATTACTTATTAGCCTAACAGCGTTTGCACCAAAAATTATATTACTTATACGTACTAAGCGCGACTAACTCTACTTTTACAAAGTTACCCAGCAATTATATACTGTGGTCTTCCGCTTTATTATGGTTTTTTTGTGATTTAACATTTTCTGTTTAAGTTATTTTTTGTTTTTGTTTTTGTTTTTATTTTTGTTTTGTTTTATTTTTGCAAAATGTGAACACATTACTTTCCATTATATTATTTCTTTTTTATGCATTTTTTGTTGTTTTTGTTGTTTTTGTGTAAAAACAGTAAACATATGTTGCGCGCATATACCACGAAAAACTTCATTTTAATAATAATTCGTAGCAGCACTCCAGGCGCTCAACAGTGAATTATGCGGATGCAGTCTGTGCGTCTATGCGGGCATGTGTTGTACTAATGCAATATTATTACGAAATAATGAAAAATTATGTGAATTTTAATAATGTACAACATAAAGCAAACGTTATTTAGTGTAGTGTTGTTGTCGTTTATGGTTGGTTTTGGCCTTCATTTTATGTGTTGCTTGCTGTTTGCCGCTTGCATACAAAAAGCAAAATTGTTTAATTTGTATTGCATACTTTGAGGCAACTGCGGGCAATATTATTATATTAGCCAAACTGAAAGCCAGTAAAGTCATCAACTCTATGTACACATGTTCAAATTGGCGTGTGTGTACTAACGT